GTCAGCCAGCTCGGGGACGGGCGCGATGCTGGGCCGGCGGTTGCCGGAGCCGTTCTCGGCCGGCAGCGCCAGCTTGCTGCTGTTAGCGGGGCGGCACTCCGTGTTCTGCAGGTCCATGGCCACTGTACCTGGACACGGTGGGGAAGGAGGCACAGCAAACATGCTATAAGGAGGTGAAGAGAGCTGAGTCAGCAAAGCATCATGCCCTTGAGCCCCGCGCTCGGGGCCGAGCGTTGTGCCTGTTAAATACAGCCCAGACGAAGCTAAACCATCCATTGGCACAGGGAGCGAAGGAAAAGCACCCACCAGTGACCTCCGCCTGGGCATTGCTGCGTGGAGCATCTCCCCAGGGCACAGCTCCCATGGTGGGTGCAGGCTGCTGGCCCTGGGGACTGTCACCTCCTGTGTCCCACCACTGTGGCCACCTCCATTAGGCTGACTGAACCACTCGCCCACCTACTGCTCATTGCAAAACCTGGCTTTAAGGCAGTTTATCATTCAGAGGTATCTCAGGGATGACAACCATCCAGCCCAACCCTGCTTTGCAGGCTCTGGGGGACACCGGCCAGGTTAAGGAACAAGCTGATGCCACCATGTCTGCCCCTTGCTGGGACACTGCCCTCCCCATGGACACCCCTTTGCCCCCATCATCCTCAAGCTCCCAAGGAGAGGCAGGCAGGCAGCCTCCAACACAGCACAACACTCTCTTCCACCTCCTGCATCCCTCCTGATGAACTCTAAGTCTTCACACAGGACAAGAGAGGCCTCCCCATCCTCTCCTCCTTCCAAAATTCAAACGTATTTATGGAGCTTCAGCGAACACTGGGCTCTGCAGGCACCCGGGCGATTTCTCTCCCTCTCAGAGGTCCCTCTGCGAATGACCCATGTAAGGAGAACACTGGCAAACGCTGTTGAGCAAAGTGCTCTGCGCCTTGCTGGGGATAATCTATGCAAATTGCTGCTCATGAGTACAAACGCATAAATTATTTGCCTGAAATATAATCTGCTGGTGAAGCGCAGCCTCCCCCAAACCCACTCTCCCCAGATACAAGCTGGAAGTAGTGACTCATGGTATTTTTTATGTGAGGAAATGCACCACTCGCTGCAGAGCAAACTGCGCTCCTCGTCAGGCCGTGAATCACGGGCGTGATTTAGGATGTGGCCGCTGGCGTTTATTCTTCCAGCCAGGGCTTGGGGGATTTATGCAAATATTGTTAATAATAATGGACATCAATCTTTAATAATGATATCTGAGCTTGACGACAGCAGCCAGGGAGCAAGAAGCAGGGTGTATTTCACTAGAGAGGTGACTGTGGAAGCCCAAAACTTGTGGAAGGAGCTGGAGTGGAGTGTGCAGGCTCCTGCCCCATCCCAGGGACTCCCACTGCCCCCCTACCCCACTGAGGCCCCACCAACTCACCCATGCTGGCGATGATGCTGTGCACAGGCAGGCGGGATGGACCGTCATAGGTGCCTCTCCCCGCAAAGCCCTTCTTCTTCTGCTTCTCCTCCTGCTTGAAGATGAAGGCAGAGTTCTCCTCCTTGGTGATGTTGATGTAGAAGCAGGTGTCAGACGCTGCCATGATGTGCCGTGGGCCGGGGGTCAGCAGGCTGCTCTTGTTCTCCCCCCTTTGCCGGAGAACGCCGTACCTGTACCAGGAGCACAATGTGGGCATTCATGGCTGAAGAACAGCCCCCTTTGAGGCTTTGTCCCTGCACAAAAGACCTCACAGCATCCTCCAGCCCCAGCCCTGGCCCCCAGAGGTGCAGACTGACAGATATGCCACATCCACCCCGGCTCTCACTTCTTGTGCGCGTGGAAGGCGGCGTAGGTGAAGCTCTTCCCCTCGTACTCCATGAAGAACTTGCTGTCGCCCATCCGGATGTGGTAGACCTCATTGCCCGAGCAGCGCCCGTACATCCGCTGCCACTGCTCCGGGGACTCCTGGCCCTCCCTGCAATGACAGCAGCAGCGGCGTGCGGGGTTGGACCCCCCCCGGTGCTGGGATGAACCCCTCCGTGGTGCCAGGATGGGACCCACTGGTGCTGGCACAGACCCCAGCATGCAAGCCAGCTCCCGACAGCAGGAGTGCTAATAAGCACTGAAGCGTATTTAGCCCAGCAGCAGTGAGATCACAGGGACGTGCCACCACGAGCTGTCGGTGTTTGCAGCTCATTTTCATTTCTGATTTTAAGTGCTTTTTTACTCAGTGAGGGCTCCTGGGGGGTGCAGAGGCAGGGGTTAGAG